CCAGTATCCCCCCACTCCCCCCCAGTGCTCCCAGTAACCCCCAGTGATTCATCCCGGTGCTCCCAGTGCTCCCAGTAACCCCCAGTGATTCATCCCAGTGCTCCCAGTAACACTCAGTTACTCATCCCAGTGCTCCCAGTAACACCCAGTGCCTCCCCCAGTGCTCCCAGTACCCTCCCAGTGCTCCCAGTAACCCCCAGTGACTCATCCCAGTGCTCCCAGTAACCCCCTGTGCCTTCCCAGTAACGCCCAGTGCCTCCCCCAGTGCTCCCAGTATCCTCCCAGTGCTCCCAGTAACACCCAATTACTCATCCCAGTGCTCCCAGTAACCCCCCTGTGCCTTCCCAGTATGGCCCCAGTGCTCCCAGTAACACCCAGTGCCTCCCCCAGTGCTCCCAGTATCCTCCCAGTAACACCCAATTACTCATCCCAGTGCTCCCAGTAACCCCCCTGTGCCTTCCCAGTATGGCCCCAGTGCTCCCAGTAACACCCAATGATTCATGCCAGTGCTCCCAGTAACCCCCAGTGATTCATCCCGGTGCTCCCAGTGCTCCCAGTAACCGCCAGTTACTCATACCAGTGCTCCCAGTCTCTCCCAGTAAGGGCCCAGTGCCCTCCCAGTCTCTCCCAGTGCTCCCAGTGCCATTCCCAGTGCTCCCAGTAAACTGCCATTAACTCCTCAGCACCTTCCCAGTACCCTCCCAGTAACCCCCAGTGATTCATTCCAGTGCTCCCAGTAAACTGCCATTAACTCCTGAGCACCTTCCCAGTAACCCCCAGTGACTCATCCCAGTGCTCCCAGTATCCTCCCAGTAACATCCAGTGCCTCCCCCAGTGCTCCTAGTGCCCTCCCAGTGCCCTCCCAGTGCTCCCAGTAAGGACCCAGTACCTTCCCAGTGCTCCCAGTAAGGACCCAGTCCCTTCCCACCCAGTAACACCCAGGCCCTCCCCCAGTGCTCCCAGTGCTCCCAGTGCCCTCCCAGTGCTCTCCCAGTGCTCCCAGTAAGGACCCAGTCCCCTCCCAGTCACTCCCAGTACCCCCCCACACTGCTCCCAGTGCCCTCCCAGTCACTCCCAGTGCCCTCCCAGTACCCTCTTGATGCCATTCCCAGTGCTCCCAGTGCCCTCCCAGTCACTCCCAGTGCTCCCAGTACCCTCCCAGTCACTCCCAGTCCCCTCCCAGTCACTCCCAGTCCCCCCTCAGTGCCCTCCCAGTCACCCCAGTCACTGACCCAGTACCTTCCCAGTGCCCTCCCAGTGCTCCCAGTGCCCTCTTGATGCTGTTCCCAGTGCTCCCAGTCCCCTCCCAGTCACTCCCAGTCACTCCCAATACCCTCCTAATCAGTCCCAGTCACTCCCTGTGCTCCCAGTAACTCCCAGTGTCCTCCCAGTATCCCCCCAGTACCCTCCCAGTCACTCCCAGTGCTTCCAGTACCCCCCCTCACTGCTCCCAGTCCCCTCCCAGTCACTCCCAGTGCTCCCAGTGCCCTCCCAGTCACTCCCAGTACACTCCCAGTCACTCCCAGTCACTCCCAGTACCCCTCCTCACTGCTCCCAGTCCCCTCCCAGTCACTCCCAGTACCCCCTCAGTGCCCTCCCAGTCACTCCCAGTACACTCCCAGTCACTCCCAGTGCCCTCCCAGTCACTCCCAGTGCTTCCAGTACCCCACCAGTACCGTCCCAGTCACTCCCAGTACCCCCCCTCACTGCTCCCAGTACCCTCCCAGTACACTCCCAGTCACTCCCAGTCACTCCCAGTCACCCCCAGTACCCTTTCAATCATTCCCAGTGCTCCCAGTCCCCTCCCAGTTGCTCCCAGTACCCTCCCAGTCACTACCAGTCACTCCCAGTACCCCCTCAGTGCC